AAAAAAAAAAAAAAAAACCCTAACGATCCTAGAACCCTTCTAGCCGTCCACCACCTCCTTCTCAGTCGTTCACAGCCTCTGCTCCTCCTCCTTCAATGGCAGGTGATGATGACACCCCTCCCCCTCCTTCTCCTCCCAACTCCAACAATTTCCGCCCGGCCTATGCCGCAACAAACATCAAAAACCTTATGCATGTTACCCTCGATCAGGAAGAAGCCCACTATGCTACGTGGTCAGAATTGTTCCAGATTCAAGCATGCGCCTACAATGTGATCGATCATATTGATGATAAGGTATCTCGTCCGTCGAACATTGATGATGCAACATGGAAGCGGTTGGATGCAATTGTGAAAAATTGGATTTATGGCACAATATCCAAGGACCTTGTCCACACCATCATAAAATCGGGTGCTACGGCACAAGATTTGTGGAACCATCTCAATGACATTTTTCATGATAATAAACACACTAGAGCAGTGTATTTGGAGGAGCAATTTAGCACTGCAAAGCTAGAAAATTTTGCTAATATGTCCGAGTATTGTATGCATCTTAAACTCCTTGCCGATCAATTAAGCAACGTGGATAACCCGGTCTCTGATAGGAAGATGGTCCTTCAATTGATTGTGGGTCTTCCGGAGGGAAAATATGACACGGTTGCTGCCTTGATTTCCCAAACCGAGCCTACACCAAATTTCAATAAGGCCCGATCTATGTTCATCTTAGAAGAAACAAGGAAGATCAAGCAAGAGGAGCATGGGCAACAAGCTCTTATTGCCCAAAATATTCAACAAATATGTTACTCCGACACTACTCTAACAAGCTTGATCTGATAATGAAGTTTTAATGCACATAATGCATTTCAAGTTGTATGAATGCTTTTTAATGGACTATTCTTGTAAAAAGCAGCTATATGTATGGGATGACTCATGGTATATTCTGCTTCATATTACCAATAAAGCAGCCGAACTTCTGTTTGGGAACATCAGTGCAGAAAATTAGTACAAGTCATATAAGTTCTTTACAAAGAATAGAAATTTGAGAAGGTCGTGGCCATTGTTGAGAGACTCCTTTCATGGTTGAAGGTTTGCAGAAGAAAGCAATATAGATAAAGAAGAAGAATAAGAATTGAAGAAGAATATAAAATCGGATCGCGCACGGGCCTATTAATAGAGCAAAATCACGTGAGTTTGTTCTGCACAATATTCTTGTAATACACTATAATTAAATAACTAAACTTGAATAAACCCCCACAAACTGGACTCTACTTGAAATCACTTGATCTAATTATAACCTAATGCAAACAAATCTAAGTGGATGTGAAATCTCTGTGTGCTTTGTTATCTTGATACACATGTTGTCACATGGACTTACCAGAAAAATAAAAGACCAACGACAAAGGACTTCTTGTTCCATTGTCATCACCAAAATGTCCAACTAAATTTCAATGTTGGGTCCACTACAACCTTGGATCGGATTCACAAGCGTAGGAGCGGGTATACGATGTTGGACCCTTATTAAATATGGGCCCGTAGATCATAGTTTGAGAATACTTAGAAATGACAATGGATCGGATTTGGATTTTCGGGTCGGATGCGGCTAAATCTAAATTCGATCCGTTCAATAAACAAACCCTGAACTCAGATCCAAATCCAATCCGACTCATAATTTTCAAATCCGAATTTGATTCGTTTATTCGGACCTCTGAAATGATCCGAATATTTTTTTTGTAATGTGTGATATATCTATAATTGTTTGTATTGTCATACGATCATACCAAGTCCAGAGTAAAGTATAAACATAACATTTTTAAATTTCTAAACTAAATTGCATAACAAAATTTTGCTATAAAATTAGCTTAACAAGCAATTGTCCCAAGTTATAAAGCATATGCTCATACTCTCGGACTCGGGTCGGATTATGCGTAGGGTCCAAGTCCGATCTGCCTCCTATTCGGATCTATTTTATCGGATTCAGACTAATTTTAAACGGATTCATATCGTTTTTTTTTTCTTTGGATTGGATCGGATTCAAATCGAGCTCGGATTAAATTGTCATCCTTAAGACTCATTACTATGCGTGGCTAGTTTTTATGTCTGGCAATGCTCCGGCTCAATATTTTCAGTTAGTAATTATCCCGTTCTGTTATAGTTGCAACATTTGGAATATTGCACTATACATTTCAATGTTGGGTCCACTACAACCTTGGATCGGATTCACAAGCGTAGGAGCGGGTATACGATGTTGGACCCTTATTAAATATGGGCCCGTAGATCATAGTTTGAGAATACTTAGAAATGACAATGGATCGGATTTGGATTTTCGGGTCGGATGCGGCTAAATCTAAATTCGATCCGTTCAATAAACAAACCCTGAACTCAGATCCAAATCCAATCCGACTCATAATTTTCAAATCTGAATTTGATTCGTTTATTCGGACCTCTGAAATGATCCGAATATTTTTTTTGTAATGTGTGATATATCTATAATTGTTTGTATTGTCATACGATCATACCAAGTCCAGAGTAAAGTATAAACATAACATTTTTAAATTTCTAAACTAAATTGCATAACAAAATTTTGCTATAAAATTAGCTTAACAAGCAATTGTCCCAAGTTATAAAGCATATGCTCATACTCTCGGACTCGGGTCGGATTATGCGTAGGGTCCAAGTCCGATCTGCCTCCTATTCGGATCTATTTTATCGGATTCAGACTAATTTTAAACGGATTCAGATCGTTTTTTTTTCTTTGGATTGGATCGGATTCAAATCGAGCTCGGATTAAATTGTCATCCTTAAGACTCATTACTATGCGTGGCTAGTTTTTATGTCTGGCAATGCTCCGGCTCAATATTTTCAGTTAGTAATTATCCCGTTCTGTTATAGTTGCAACATTTGGAATATTGCACTATACATTATATCGTATTCATTTAACTTCATTAATATTCATGTGGGATCTTGTTAATTCATCTCAATTCATATTTTTTAATATATATATAAGTTTGTAATATCAACATTTTATTTTATTTTATTTTTATTTTTTTACTTATCTAAATTCGAGATATAAGGGGTTGATCTGGGTTTGTTTATGCGTGATTTGTAAAATTGATCTAGTGACTTTCCTTCCTTACATTTGGTACCCAAATTACTTATCACTTATGTACGAAGTATCATTGAAAGAATTCACAACAGATTTACTCGTATTAAGCATTCAAAAATCAAAATCAATCTCAGTCATACGAGCATAGTTTGGCATCAAAATGAAAATCCTAAAAACCCCAAAAAAAAAAAAAAAAAAAAAAGGTCCTACCGAGATTTGAACTCGGGTTACTGGATTCAGAGTCCAATGTCCTGACCACTAGACCATAGGACCACATTGTTACTACAAATTCATTCTTTATATATTTATTTTTATTCAAATAATTCTAACAGCTTAGTTTGTTCATCGTTTCGCTTAATCAACCCTGCCTAATGAATCTGGTATTGTACAACATATTATTGAAACAAAAATGCATCAATTTTAATCCTGTTGTAAATCGACATTCATTGATTTTTTTTTTCCCTATTAGTGCCAGATTATTTTCCACCTTTTTACCTGAAACATCGGAAATTCATAGTATGTATACCTCGTGTTTTACTGTAACTAGAGTGTACCCGTGTAAAATGCACGGGATATATAAGAAAAAATGTATTTAAAATGTGGAAAGTTGATTTTGATGTTGTAATTTAGACTTCAGTTGTAATGGTCGGTTTTGGACGTCGTTTCTGTTGAACCCTAATTAGCTCTGTTGTACTGAGTATTAATAATAATCGTATTAATAATGTGCTGACACCTGATGTGCTATGCTGAAATATGATATTCTAAGCAAAGCTTAGAAGCTCAAAAAACAGGGTCTTACTCTTTTATGTCGGTGGCCACACAATGCTATTATGGGATTTACTTTTTCAACGTTATAGAGGTTACCTGTTCAATGTAATAGGGGTTACTTGTGTTACTCAGTTCGTGTTATATGGGTTAGCGTCTTGCTGTAGGAGGTACATAATTTCTATTGTACTGAGTATTACTAATAATCGTATTAATAATGTGCTGACACCTGATGTGCTATGCTGAAATGTGATATTCTAAGCAAAACTTAGAAGCTCAAAAAACAGGGTCTTACTATTTTATGTCGGTGGCCACACAATGCTATTATGGGGTACTTTTTCAAAGTTATAGAGGTTACTCATTCAGTGTTATAGGGGTTACTCGTGTTACTCAGTTAGTGTCATATGGGTTAGCGTCTTGCTGTAGAAGTTACATACTTTGTTCTGTTGCAAGTAGTTATTCGCTGAGGACAATTGCACAAAAACGTGTTGTACATTTTCTTTTTGGTTTTGATGATTAAAGAAATGGAAAATGTTTGGAGGGTAGTCCCTAAAAAAATGCATATAATTGAAGGGTTGGGATTTAGAGTACTATAATTGAAGGATCGGGGATTTAGAGTATTTTTTTTTTTTTTTTTTGATATGTTAAACTACGTACCAAAAAAAAAAATGACATGATATTGGGTTTTTTTTTTTTTAAATGATAAAAAATTAAAATAAAATAAAGTAGTGGGATTAGTAGTTATTTTTTCCTTTATATTAAAATATATATATATATATCAAATGCATGTGAGTTAAGGATTGGGGATTTGGTGGGCTCTCGTTAAATGACTCTACAATTATAATATAGATTTTTTTCACCAAATTTTAATTGAGCGAGATCAGAGTAAATAAAAAATTGTCATGAACAAACTTAATTACTTGGATTAAAACTTAAAATTAATATAATAATGTTATCCTATCCAGTATCCATATAATATAGGAGTCCATTGTCCATAAAATAAAGTTCCATCTTTTGGATTTTTTTTATTTGCTAACTAACTTAGATAATTGAAGGAACATCATAAACAAACTCATTAACTCGGATTAAAATAAGATACCAATCAACAAACAAATTAAAAATGTTAAGACCATCGATTAATCGAACAACGAACAAACCAATTTCATTAATAATAATCCAAATCAGGATTAAACAAAAGAATGAACAAATGATACTTTCATAGTTTCATATTACAAACTACATAAGAAGTACTATATATAACATAAGAAACCAAAACAAATTAATAACTCAAACCCCATTGATAATCAAAGAAACTCAACACAACTCAAATCTTCCCTTAAACTTGGAATGGCCAAGGCCAATTCTTCAAATCCTCCTCTTTTCCATTCCCATTCCCATTCCCGCCTCGGCCGGTTCCATCAACAAACGCATGGTACCTCAGCATAAACGCCAAGCTCATAACAACCCACTCGAGAAAAAACATAACAACACACAGCCCACCCGCCAATTTCAGTATAACAGCCGCATCTTCGAATCGTACATACGATTTCATAGCCGATAGAAAGTTATCTGTGGTGGTGAAGATCAACACTGCAACAGACCCCTGAAATATGGCTGTTAAGACTGTGGAGACCATATGGAAGGCGTACCATTTGTGGGAACCGGCGGAAGATGCAGCACAACCCGAAACGGCACCGCCAATTGTGAGGATGTGAAGGAGAATGAAGAGGAATCCGATTATTGAAGGGAATAATCGGAGTGATAATGTTAGGAATATGCAACTAGAGGCTGCTCCTAACAAGATGTAATTGCATATTAGGAAGATTTTGTGTGTGTGAGTTTGTGATTCAGTGATTTGGAGACCCATTTGAGGGAATTTTTTCTGGGTTGTTGATGAATTTTGGTAATTTTGAATGTGATTTGAGAATTTTTGAGTTGATGAAGAGAGAAATAAGGGAGAATTGAGATGATTTGGGTGGAATTGAGAGAGGGGGTGATATATAGGAAGAGAGTGGCAACGGTCATATTAAAATTGTAGTGGGTGAAATTGAAATGTGACCGTTGTTAAGAGGGGTACGTTTAAAGGTAACGGCTATTATATTGGGTTTTTTCTTTTCTTATTTACTGTTTTTGGCTGGCAAAGTTTATGTTTTGCGTAATTAATTGAGACTTCGAACATGTTTACAAATATATATATATATATATATATATATATATATATATATATATATATATATATATATATATATATATATATATATATATATAACTTGGAACATGAGAAACTGATTATGGTCCATTTGGCCGATTTGGGTATTATCGTATCGGGTTTTATAGAGAACCTGATCCAATAAAATATACTCAAACCGAATGATAGGATTTAGGATCTGATTTTGATTATTAAATGATAGCCTGGAATTAACCTATAACTTGAAATGTACCTAATCTGAAAAGTTAAAACTAGATCTCACATGCTCCTGATTAAATTGAATCGAAATCAACCCGAATAAAAATTGACTATACTTGGACTTTTTTTTTTTTTTTTTTAATCCCAATATACTAAATCCATCCTCTAAAATTCAATTTATTCACTAGATTACTAAGTTGAATTCGAGTGAAAAGAAAGCTACAAAATCAATAGTAATGTTTTCCCACATTTTTTTTTTCAAGTTGATTACTAAGTTGAATTCGAGTGAAAAGAAAGCTACAAAATCTATACTTTTCTTTTGTGCACATTTAATCATGTGCCCAAATCACATTGTGCTGGGCTTCTCAAGCCAAACTGGACTTTCGAGGCTGGCTTTGGCTTTGATGAACTCTTAAAATTTGTTTATTAAGTTGCCTAATTTAGGGGTGACCATAATTTGGATTAAAATTGAAATCCAATCCAAACCGAATCATCAATTCGGATCGAATCCGTAAATTGGATCGGATCAAATTGAGATTTTTTTAAAATTCGGATTTTCGGATTGGATGTGATTGACCCTAATCGGATTCAATCCAAACCGAAAACCGAATTGTAAAATTAAGCTTGTACAAATATGGATTTCTTTGTTTTTCAAAGTTTAGCTCAAATACTTACTACTACATAAAATTAATTAGGGAGACATTGTATTAAATTAATTAATGACTTGATGTTGAACTATTTATTTTAATCATAATTTTGAAGACTTGTATTTATATTAAAGCTTAATTTCTATAATCGTATTAGGCGCTAAAAAATAATATATTATAATTCGGATTTTTGGATCGGATCCAAATAACCGAAATTTGTTTCGGATTGGATTGAGAGAGAAATTCGGATTGGATGGGATTAGAAAATTGAAAACCGAATTATATTTCGGATTGCATCGGATTTGGACAAAATCCAAATCGAAAACCGAACGGACACCTCTAGCGTAACATGCATCTTTTTCTAATAATTGATGACCAAACAACGGTTTATCATCTAAAATTATGTATCTATGTTGATAAGTATATTAGGTGACTCGTACTTCGTAGCTTTGTCCGCCCGATCGGGCGGACATTGCCCGGTCTGACCGGGCGGAAGAAGAAGAGGTGCCTGGCAAATTCGTTGAAGAAGCTGCTCTCGCGCCCGACCGGGCGAGCCTTCGCCCGACCGGGCGAGCCTTCGCCCGATCGGGCAGAACTTGCCCGGTCTGACCGGGCGGTGGGGGTTGGATACGTTGAAGCATTCGTATGGAGTTTTCTTCTCGCGCCCGATCGGGCAGACCTTGCCCGGTCTGACCGGGCGGAGAAGGAAAAATGCGGAGACGCGGATTTTACGATTTAAAGTTATCTTTTATGTTATCTTTTTGCCCAAGTATCTTTTATTTTAGGGATTAATATAAAACCTCCCTAATATTAGTATAAGGGTTAAGAGAGACAGAGTGAGAGCCGTTCTTGAGAAATACAAGAATCATCTTTGTAATCTTTGCAGTTTATAGTGAAATCATTCGATCTCGGTGCCCGTGGACGTAGCTATCACATCGATAGTGAACCACGTAAATTCTTGGTGTTGTTCTTATTGTTTGCATTGAATTTCTTTATTGTTTTCTTGTTTGTTTTCGACCTTTGCTTCCGCTGTCGCACAACAATTGGTATCAAGAGCTCAGGTTCAATCCTTGGAGAGTTTCTTGAAGATAACAATGGCAGGAGATTCAACAATAAGAATTGAGAAGTTTACCGGGAAAAATAGTTTCGGGCTATGGCAAATTAAGATGAAGGCTCTGTTAAAACAACAGCAGATATGGCGTCCGTTGGCTCCAAAGAGTACTACTTCGGAGTCAGGAGACGGACCGACTGACTCGCAGTTAGAAGTTATGGAAGAGAAGGCACACTCTACCATATTACTTAGTCTTGATGATCAAATCATCACGGAGGTTGCTGATCAGGAAACGGCGGCTGGATTGTGGCTGAAGCTGGAGTCATTGTATATGACTAAGTCGTTGACCAACAAATTATTACTGAAACAGCGGTTGTTTAGCCTCCGGATGCAGTCAGGTACTTCCTTACGGGAACATCTAGAAAAACTTAACTCTATTTTGCTTGATTTACGTAATTTAGATGTTAAAATTGATGATGAGGATGCTGCGTTGATTTTACTTGTATCTCTACCGTCTAGCTTTGAGAATTTTGTAGAGTCTTTTGTTGTTGGTAAGGATTCTATAACCTTAGAAGAAGTGAAGGCAGCACTTCATACTAGGGAACTCAGAATGAAAGCTACGAGTGATAATGGGGATAATGGTAGTGGGTTATTTGTTAAGTCCGGAAAGTCTAAAAAGAATAAGGGGTTTAACAAGGGGAACAATGCTGGGTCGGGTGCTGGAAACGGCAAGGATGGATCTAGTAAAACTACTACTAAAACATGTTATTACTGTAAAGAACCGGGTCACTTTAGGAATAATTGTCCGGTGAGGAAAAACAAGTCCCAGGCTGCTGTAGTTGAAGAGAAACCGAATGAGAGCTATAATTCAGAGGAAGATTTAGCATTAGTCAGTTCTGCTAGGTCTGATGATTTATCTGATAACTGGGTTCTAGATTCGGGGTGTTCGTTCCATATGTGTCCACGTCGAGATTGGTTTGATACATATGAACCTCGCAATGGGGGTATGGTTATAGTCGGTAACAATGCTCCATGTAAGGTCACAGGTATTGGTTCCATGAGGTTGAGGACTGTTGATGGGCGGAGGTTAACTTTGACTAATGTACGGCATGTTCCTGCTTTAGGAAAGAATCTGATTTCATTGGGTACCCTGGATGAATTGGGGTACAATGGTGTGTTTTCAGATGGGGAGTTGTGTATTTTCAGAGGTTCTGAGTTGGTACTTAAGGGTATCAAAAGGAACACCCTCTATGTTTTTGAGGGTGTTACACTGCCTAGTTCTGCGGTTTGCGCATCTGTATCTCACCAGGAGATGACTAAGATTTGGCACATGAGGCTTGGTCATATGGGGGAGAAGGGGATGCAGCTATTGTCCAAGAGGGGTCTTCTATCCGGGGTCAAGGTTGCCAACCTTGAATTTTGTGAGCATTGTGTGTTTGGTAAGAAACACAGGTCAAAGTTCAGCAAGGGTGCTCACATTACTGATGCAGTGCTCGATTACATCCATTCAGATTGCTGGGGTCCATCTAGAGTTGAAGGTATGGGAGGTTACCACTATTTTGTGTCATTTGTTGATGACAAGTCCCGATACACATGGCTTAGGTTGCTTAAGTCAAAGGATGAGGCCTTCAAAGTTTTCAAGCAATGGAAAGCTTTGGTGGAAAATCGACAAGGAAGGAAGATCAAGAAGCTACGAACGGACAATGGGCTAGAGTTTTGCAAAGACGAGTTTAATCAGTTCTGTGCAGATGAGGGTATAGGTCGGCATCATACTGTCAGGAAGACACCACAGCAGAACGGTGTAGCAGAACGGGTTAATCAGACACTGCTAGAGAGAGTCCGATGCATGCTCTCCAATGCAGGGCTTGGGAGGAGGTACTGGAGTGAAGCTGTGTTAACAGCTTGTTATGTCATTAATAGGGGTCCTCATTCTGGAATTGATTCCAAGATTCCGTTTGAGATCTGGAGTGGTAAGTTGCCTAATTTTTCGAATTTGAAGATTTTTGGTTGTGTTGCTTATTATCATGTTATTGAGGGTAAGCTGGATCCACGAGCCAAGAAGGGGTGTTTTGTTGGGTACGGGGATGGTGTGAAGGGGTTTAGAATTTTTTCACCTTCGGAGGGTCGGGTCATTCTTAGTAGGGATGTTACTTTCGATGAAAACACCATGTATTCAATTAAAAATGCAGAGATTTCAGATTTGAGAAGGGAAGGAGACAATTTATTACAGACAGATGGGGTACTTGAGGTACATCAGTCTACCATTGCTGATTTACCTCGGGTACAATATATTGATGATGATGCTGATGTTCCAGTGCCGGGTACTCCTGAACCTGAGATTACTCCTACTCATTCTAACTCTGGGGATGAGGTGGAGCAATCTAATCAGGGGTCATCTAGTCAACCTGACACCATTCTTGAGATGCCTAAACGAGTTATCAAGAAGCCTGTTAGATTGATTGAAGAGATGGAGGGAAGAAATTGCTGTGTTGATGCGATGACAGGTTATGCATTGAGTGTAGCTGATGATGTAGAGTCATTTGAACCTGCCACATATAAACAAGCAATTAGTTGTAGTGAGTCTGCGCAATGGCTTGCCGCAATGGGTGAAGAGATGCAGTCCCTTTACAAGAACAGAGTGTGGGAACTGGTAAAGGTACCGGAAGGGAGGAAGCTTGTGGGTTGTAAATGGATTTACAAGAAGAAAGAAGGGTTGTCGGAAACTGAGCAAATACGTTTTAAGGCTAGGCTAGTTGCTAAGGGGTTCAGTCAGGTAGAAGGGGTTGACTTTGTTGAGATATTCTCACCTGTGGTTCGACATACTTCTATCCGTGTGTTATTGTCAATTGTAGCACATTTTGATCTTGAGCTGGAGCAGT